AGTAAAGGAGATTAAGAGGTACAAACTTCCACTTATAAGATAAATAGATTGTGGGGATGAAAAGTACAGCACAGGGAATATAGTGAATAATACTGTAATAACATTGGATGGTGACTACACTTGAGCATTGTGTAATGTACAGAATTGAGTTACTATGTTGTACACCTGAAATGTATATAACATTGTATGTCAACTGCAAAAAAAAAAAAACCACACACACGCACGCACGCATGCACGCGCAAACGCAAAGTTATGGCTTACCACTCCAGCTTATGTAGCATCTTAAATGAAGAACAATAAATTTGTAGGGAAATGACAGAAGGAAAGCCGTTCTAGGCTTCCAAGGACGGCAAGCTGTGGGATGGTAAGTACATGGGAGGGCACTCATCGAGTAAGGTTTGTTTGCAGATTGCCCTGGGCTGATAGGAGACTGTCTCCAGTAAAGGGAGAATTTATAGCTTACCTTTAGGCAGAAAAGGGGAGGAGAGGGAGAGCTTTTCTTGGGTTTCCTGCTTCTTAATTGCCTTTAGCTCAAAATAGTTTTTATGTCCAAGAGGCATATTTTGGGGGTGACGTATTCTAATTTCCTTCAACTAAAACAGGAAGCCGCTACCACCCTCAGGGTGGAATGAACAATGTGACAAGATAGAGTTCCTAGGACCAAGAGGCAAAGCTCTTTGGAGGAAGCTAACAGAAGTGGGAACTTCCTTGTGACAAGTGACACTGCTCTGGGTGGGGCTATCCCAGGAAGCTAAAGCCAGGAAGAGGATGCTTTTGCTGCCAGAGGTCATGCCCAAGAGTGAGAGAGGAGCCCAGGGTCTCCCACGTCTGCCCTCCCATCTCTAGCAGGTACCTTGCACTGGCCAGACCTAGATATAAACCCACTGAGGTGGGAGCCTGGAGAAAGCAGCCTGCAGAAGTGGGCTTTTCTTTCTTTTCCTTTCCTTTTCCCTTTTAAAAGATTATTTATTTATTTGAATGAGAGAGCACAAAGGGAGAGGGAGAGGGAGAAGCAGACTCCCTGCTAAGCAGAGAGCCTGATGTGGGGCTTGATCCCAGGACCCTGAGATCACGACCCGAACCGAAGGGAGATGCTTCACTGACTGAGCACCCAGATGCCCAGAAGTGGGCTTTTCTATGACACTGGGTGGAATGAGGTGCCTGCCTGAGAAACAGATCTGGAGGCGAAGGTGCAGCGGATCATCCCATACCTCTTTTCTTCCCCACAACTTACATTGCGACCTCTGGTCTTCTCTCCATTCCTAAACACAGGACAAATGTTCATGCTTTCACTACTGCAGCATGGCATGCAGTCTCTATGTTTCTTCCTATTGGAATTTAACAAATTGTTCAAAGCCCAATTTGACTGCATTTTATAACTTTTCTCATGCTATCAGTTACATAGAGTATCCCACTTGTACTTTATAGTACTTTGGTTATATTTCTTTTGTAGCAATAATTTTTGCTTTACAGTATGGTGACTTATGTATGTATCCTTCTCTCCTAATATTAAAAATATTTTTGGCTAATGCTTGACCAAAAAGCCCCCCTGATTCAACACTTTCTTTGATGCCAAAATGTGTGGATTGTGAGTTGTATCCAAAGGGCATTACCTGAAGTTGTTTGCCTCCATCCATGGCCCAGGGACTACAGTGCCAGGATGAATTTCTATTAGTTCAAGACACAGGAAAAGAACTTTCTTCCTGAGGTATGGGGAGGTTGAAGCTACAATGGATGTCAAGATTTTGCTCTGTCTTTAGGAGAATCCATTGTTGGCATGAAACTAATGTAGTTAGAAAAATAAGTACATTGAATTTTTTTGGAAAAGATTTTATTTATTCATTTGAGAGAGAGACAGAGAGCCCACAAGCAGGGGGAGAGGGAGAAGCAGACTCCCCACTGAGCCAGCTGGGAGCCCAAAGTGGGGCTTGATCCCAGGACCTGGCGATCATGACCCAAGCCAGAGCTCAATCATCTGAGCCACCCAGGCGCTCCAGTACATTGAATTTTTTTAAAGACTGTTGTTTTCTTCGAAATACAGAGAAGATTTCTATCTCTTTTTCAAGACAAGGCTCCAGAGGGTGAGAAAGTTATGGTCAGTATGTTTTTCCTTTACAAGTGGTATGGAGGCTGATTTAGTAACACCAGTATTAGGGTTGGTCACTATCTGCAGGTGTACCTTCAAACTACGTATTTTCCAATGTCTCATACTACAAATTTCTCAGTATTCTGCGAAGAGATAATTCACCTGTTCAACAATTTTCCCTATTAAGCATCGATGTGCCATGGACCGTGCAAATGTTTCAGGAGGGTTATCTGCACAAAGTTTGGTTACGGTGATCTCCCGGATGGTGAGGCGGTTCCTTTCAGGGTGTGGATAGGGGCTATCAAGGGCCCAGTTTGGATTAAAATGATACCATCTAACTGCCAAGGGCATGCATTTTAACAGATAGGCCTTAGTTAGTCATTCCCAGATCTCAGTATCTAGAAACTTGCAACTATTTTGTGATACCACAGACTTGAGATAGTCTTCAAAGTCTCAGACTATGGATTTGTGAGACTCCCTCCTGTACTGCTGTAATTTTGCTTCTTTTCCAGGCATATTTTGTTTTTAAAACATTTAGCACTCATCTGGGCTACATTTTCTATGCATTCCATATTTCTATGCATGGAAAATATGCTTATCCTGAAAATCATGTAAATCGTAAGTTATAAGAATGGACTCTTATTTGTATCTGAGAAAATGGATTCCTTCCATCCTTCAAGATTATTATTCATGAGATTCTCTACAGTGTAGAGTATTGTTCCAGATTCTAGAGTCTGAGGAGGTAGCACTAAAATGGGACTTTGGAAGCAGGGATTCAACATTTTGCTCTATCGTTAAGTCGTTCTGTGATTTGAGGTTAATTTCTTTACTTCTGTAAGATTTAGTTTATTTGTAAAATTAGGAGCTTGGACTTTACAAGATTAATTCTAAGCTCTTTTACAGCTCTGAAAGTCTATGATATTATGATTTAAATATTTGCATATATGGGGCAGGCAGCTAAACCCCTATGAAGTACCCACCTCTGACACATGAGGTCCTAAGTGATATAACCTGATTGTGCAAGTATCTTTGATGAGCAAGTGGTGGGAGAAATACAGAAAGACACTGGCAACCTATAGGTTACAGACCATCTTTCTGTGACTTTCATCTCACCTTTCCCTCGTTTTCTATTCAAAACAAGTTTTATCACAATTTGCGGCTGAGTAGAATCAAAGCAGGACATAAAAATCAATCCATGTTTATTCTGTTTTCATAGATCATTTAAAATTACCAAATGATGTGCCAAGGATCTGTAATTGGTCCCGGCGTGTCATTTGTGGGCTCAAATGAGGAGACTGTATGTCCAGAGAAGTGAGAATACCATTTCATTACTCCAGGCAGGTGAAGTCTGTGCAGACAGGAAGAGACAAGCTCATAATCCACAGTGAGGCCCGGCCAGTGGGGAAGGCAGGAGAGCGACAGATGGAGCAGGTAGGAAGGGACAGGCAGATCGGGGCAACGAGGACTCGAGAGGCTGGGAACACATCTGCACTGGGAAAGAATCATGGGAATGCAGGCCCTGGGAGCTTCAACAGTGATCCTTGATCAGGATGATGGCTAGGTGGCTCTGTCAGCTGCTAATTTCATGTTTTCTCTTTTTTGCCATTGGTCACAAAATGAATCAGTTGCATTAAGAGCCAGTATCAGTCATAAAACGACAACACATTAACTGTTATTTTCCCTGCACAACATTTATTACTGTTGTTTTCCCTTAATGCCAGTTATTATAAATACATTGCAAAAATTTAGAATAATATGCAGGATTATAAGACAAAGACTCACAAGGGCTGATCGTAACCCGTGCACTCTTTTCAATCGTCATTTATTAATTTATATGATGCTTCAGAGTGATCAAATCCCCTCACCAAAATCAAAGATTAAGGACAGCCAAACTACGCTTAAAATATCTAAAGAAATATGTTGTTTACTTCATTCTTCCCAGGTGCCTGCCAAAAAGTGCCTGGATATTCAAAGAGATGGAGAATCAGGTAGCTTCTTGGCTGTATAAGTCACCAGTGAAACCTGCCTACATTTCTGAGAGTTCTTCCTAAAAATGACCCATTACAAGCGGCTCCACCTAGGCTTAAATGGGCGACCTGCTGTTTTAATGTGGTGTTTCCTAGCTGGAGCTGTAGAAACGCATCAGAAAGGGCACTCACACTTAAATGTTCAGTGGATTTTCAATCAAAGTTCCAAAGTCATTCAGCAGGAAAATATCACCTTTTCAAAAATAGTGCTGGAACAAATAAATAAATGCAGGGGGAAGAAAGAGACTCCAACCCTTATCCCACCCCATATACCAAGGTTAACCCCAAATGGGCCATAAAGTTAAATGTAAGAGCTAAAATTATTTAAGAAAGCTTAAACGAAAATCTTTATAATACTGGATTAGACAAAGATTTCCTAACCAGAACCCAAACCCCACATAAAACAAAAATTGAAAAATGGACTAGATCAGGGGCGCCTGGGTGGCTCAGTCAGTTAAGCGTCTGCCTTAGGCTCAGTGTTCTGGGATGGAGTCCCACTTTGGGCTCCCTGCTTAGCTGGGAGCCTGCTTCTCCCTCTCCCTCTGCCACTCACCTTGCTTGTGCTCTCTCTCTCTCTGTCAAATAAGTAAATAAAATCTTTTAAAAAAAGAATTATAAGAAAAATGGACTAGACCGAATTAAAGATGTTTTCTTTTTGAAATATCTATGTCAACAAAGAGCTGATAGCTGAAAATATAAGCAAAAGACTTCATCCAGAGCATATAAAGAACTCTTACTCAAAGATAAAAAAATTTTAAATGGGCAAAGGATTTGAAGAGATACTTCACAAAAGTGGCCAATTACATCACAACCCATGACAAAGGATGACCAACACCAGCAGTTGTCAGGGAAATGCCATTGAAAACACTGCACTGCCTATGATTTATCTTATAGCAAGTCCTGCCTTTAAGAAATTAACATTACACTGAAGGCTTCTACTTCCATAATTTGGGAGAATAAGCATTCTATGGTTATTGAGAAGCAGCAAGCAATAGTGAAGAGATATAGAAGTAATTGGGTTCTGAGTACTTTGTCATAGAGCTCAGTATCTGCATGGAAATATAATAAAAGGGCCGAAAAAGGGTATCCAATGGCATTTCAGACATGAGTAGTCATCATAACTTCATACTCTCTCTGTGGCATTTCACCTGCCAAAGATCTCCTTGGGACCAGATTCCATTCTCAGGTAGGTCATAGGTTGGACTCTTCTGTGTCACATAATTGTATTATCTCTACTATCACAAAGTGAATCCCTTTGACACTCAGTGAAAATATAATCTACTTTATATTGTAAAGACATCTCTCAGGATTTCCAGCCTAAGGTCACTTTTTCTTGGAATGAAACAGACAGCTTTATCATTTGGCAATCCTAGTAGCAAAAGTGTTGAGACTATTATTTACTTTTAAAAAGAGATTAAAAAAAAAAAAGTGCCGCTTCTGGTTTTAAGGGAGTAGCTTGCATCAGAGCAAACTTCCTGTCTTGAAACAAGCAAAAAACACTGGATACAGTAAAAAAAAAGAGTCAATAAATGAAAATGGCTATTTAAAAGCACAGGGAAAAACAATAAAAACATTGGAAGGTAACCAAGACAACCAGAAATAAGAAAGAAAAAAAATACAACACTGAGGTAAGGTCTTCTTCCTCTGCAACTTTTGCCCCTTGAGGCACTTGCTGATGAACAGATTTGAAGGTCAAAGTCTAAATAAAAGAGGCTTAAAGCTTGTTGTAATATCACCTGGCTAATGATGTAAAATACCCAGGCACTCCTGACTTCACCTGCAAGGTCCTGAAGAAAAGGGAACCACGGAGAAGTGAAGCCATCTTTCTAGTTGGCTTTTGCCCTCATAATATTTTATAAAATGACTAAGGATCCTACTCTGAAGGACCTCAGCTTGTTTTCTGTGGAAATACCTGGAGCTTCCCAACTCTTTGTTCAGAATTAGCCTCCAGAGACCACCACAGGGGGAAATTTCCAGTACAAGGCCTTCCCTTTTTTGTGTGAATAGTTTAAGGTGAACTAATCCCCCATGGAAAACAATAAAAGAAACCCAAGAGTCTTGAGACCAACGTCTGATGAAGAAAGGATTAAATGTACAAAGACGGAAGAACAATGAATTTAGAGGAGTGAGGGGCTGGCTGCATTGGTTCTCATGTTTTTTTCTGGAAACTGGTTCCTGGGTATCTGGTTGTAGAGACCACCAAAGGTCTCATAGCACCTCACTCTCTCACCAAAGTGACTTTAGGGTAGGAGTCAGCAAACTTTTTCTGTTGAAACTGGGTAGTCAATATTTTCAGTTTTTTGGGTCATCTAGTCTCTGTCACCGCTAGTCTGCTCTGCTGTTGTCGAAGGAACGCAGCCAGAGACAAAACGTAAATAATGAAAACGGCTGTGTTCCAACAATTTTATTTACGGACACTGAAATTTAAATAAATTTCATCTCATTTTCATGCATCATGAATTACTATTTTCTTTTGATATATTTTTTTTCACCATTTAAAATCTAAAAAACAAGGTGATGAGGATTAAGGAGAGCACTTGCTGTGATGAGTGCCTGGTGTTGAATGGAAGTGTTGGATCACTAGATTGTGCACTTGAAACTGATATTACACTGTGCATTAGCCAACTGGAATTTAAATAAAAACTTTAAAAAATAAACAAAATATTTTAAAAATCCCCACTTTTCAGTCATAGGCTGTACGAACACAGGTGATGGGTGCATTGGACCCCTGGCTATGGTTTTCTGATCTCTGTCTTAGGGTTCAGGATCCTCAGGAGTTTTGGTACTCTTTCTCTGTAATGAAGGCATTATGGTCATATGGAATTTTGGGGGAATACTCTGAGGACAATCTGTTCCTGGAATCGACTTCAGCTGCTAAATAGCCACATCATCAAGGAAGAGAAGATGGCTTGTTAGTTTCATGGTTATTCTCTGTGGAGGCTCCAGAAATAACTTGCTTGATTTTTCTCCTTCTTCAGAGTAACAGGCTCGAAACATGAATGAGAAATCATTCAATATGACATGCTTTACTGTCAAGAAGGTAATGTGGAGTGAGACATAATTTATGTTTTTGTCGTTGAAATTTTACATTTGTTAATGAATGGCTTCTATTTATGAACAGGTATAAGACCACTAGATTCCTGCACATGTGCCGGGGGGCCATCAGTAAGGAGGCGAGTGACTGGCTGTCTGGCTGAAGCAACATTAAACATACTGACACGTATCTTTTATGAGTCGAGCCAGGAACAGTCTGATAAATGCGAAAAAAAAGAAAGGCAAAATGGCAGTAAGATAATAAGGGCATAGGATAGTACGCATCCAATTGTAAAATTGTTGTAGTTCAGAGATTTATACTCAAGTGAAAAAAAAAAACCCAACCAGAAATCTATCCCTAAGATTTATAATAAGTTTACGCAAATCTTTTTAATGCAAATGAGAAAGCGTTAGAAATGAATTTTAGGTGGACATAAGGATACCCCATTCCAAGGCAAGTTTCCAGTTTTGGAAAAGAAAATCAAACCTGATGTTTATAGCAAATTTGGGAAATGGTTTTCTCACCGCTATCAAAAAACAGCCTCCTGTTTTTCCCTGAGAGAGTACTTTTAAAAAAGGCCTTAAGTCTGCGGAATTTCGCTGACATAGAGAAAAGTTAAGGCGGAACATACTAAGACAACAGTAAGAGGTTGCTTCAGAGAGGGTGTCTTTGGCAAGAAATGGAGTATTTGAGTGAAAAGATTCACAGTACTGGCTCTCAAATCACGGTAGAGTTGTCCTAGTCCAGCAGCAAGTGGGAGTTTTGCAAAGGCCATTAACTGAAGGGACCAGTAGATGGCATAAATAAGTCAGGATAGACTCAGAGGCTCAAGGAAAGGAAAAGAACATTCTGGCAGCTCCTTACTTTTATGTCTAATGCTTCTGTCTGAGTTGGACTATTTGCCTCTCTGATCCTAGCACTCTGAGCTATTGTTGCGACTTTAGTTCACATTCAAGAACGGTCCCACAAACACGTCCTGAGGTACTTAGGACCAAACCTCAATGAACTGACGAGATCAAGAGAATTATATTTACCAGCATTATTTTCCTATACCCCCATGCTCTTTTTCCTTTCTAACCCCTTCTTTTCCTTCTTCCTCTGTCCCTCCCTTCCTTTATGCCTCAGGAGCAAATAGGTGAGCCCCTTATACTCTGCTCACGATCATCACCTGTTGTAAAACCCTCTCATTTTTAAACTTTTTCCCCCTCTCTTCCTGGACTTCCAAACAGGTGTCCCCCGTAGGCATTCATGTGCATGTATTTGATATCTACTCTTGAAAGTGTATGTACACGGGTGACATATGTAGCGTTTTATACATGTTTATATTCATAATTTTCACAAATGACATTATTTGTTGATTTTTTCTTCCTCATTTTTTCACTGAACGCTAGGTTTCTGAGAAACGTTCGAGTTGCTGTTACTTCTAATTGCTATCTATGATTATTCCATGGTATGCACGTACTACATTTTGATTGGTTATTCCTTTAGTGATGGACAAAGCTGGGCCTCGATTATTTAGGGGTTATCTTTAGTTTGTTATCTTTCCTTACTTAGCACATTGTCAGACTTTAGGAAAAAACTACATTTTGTCAAATGGCTTCTAAAAATGTGATAAACAGTGAATCAGACTGAGAAAGCAAGCTGTGTGTTTTAGAAAAGCATTCTGAGGTCAGCACAGATCTGCTCTGCTCCTTTAAGGCTACTATTAGAAGGACTTTCTGATTCTGATTATTCCTAATTTTTACATTTTTTACTAAGCATAAGGAGGAAAATCAAGGAGATATTTATGTTCATTCCATTCTTAAATTTATGTTCTCTTGTTCTAACAGTGGAATTTGAAGAGAGAACAAAAGCGAGAATGTTATAAAATTAAAATAACTGGTTAGTGTTTTATAACTAACATCACAATCATTTCTCACCTGACTCCTCTCTACATACATAATACTTTTTATGGAAAATGCGTATGTGCTCTGCAACATTAAACACCAGTAAAATATTTATGCCAGATAGATGGGCAATATGGTAGAGTGGAAAGATGAGATTTTTTGGTATAGACCAGGAGGGTCAAACTTTTTCTATAAAGGCTGCTATGGATGAATTGTGTCTTCTCAAAATTTGTGTTGAAGCCCTAACTCCCCATGTGACTATATTAAAGATGGGGTATTTAAGAAGGCTATTAAAGTTAAATGAGGCTGTAAGAATAGAGCCCTGATCCACCAGAATTGGTGCCTTTATAAGAAAAGGAGGAGACAATAGAGCTCTCTCTCAACCATGTGAGGACACGGCAGGAAGGCAGCCTTCTGCAAACCAGGTTAAGGCTCTCACCAGAACCTGACCTGCTGCCACCCTGATCTCAGCCTTCCAGCCTCCAGAACTGTGAGAAAAGAAATTTCTGTTGTTTAAAATACCCACTCTACGGTATTCTGTTATGGCAGCCTGAGCTGACTTATGCTAATGCCCAGATAATCAATATTTTAGGCTTGTGCGCCAGGACCAGCTTACAAAGCTTATCCTGGAATGCCTTTCTAAGAAGGTAACAGTTGACTGAGAAATCAATAATGAACGGGATCCAGTTATGCAAAATTCAAGGTGTTCCTGGCAGAGCAAACGGTAAGTGCGAAGTTCTCAAGGTGGTGGAGGTGGTAGCCAGCTGGTGGTGGGTAAGGTGTGCTCAGGACCACAATGGACCCAGTGTGTCTGGTTTAGAGTGTGAAAGTATGAGACATGTGGAAAAAGGAAGGAGAACGAGGAGGGTAAAGTCCTGGCGAGAAGATGGAAAGAAACTTGGATTTTCTCATAAGGGTTGTAGGAAGATTTTGAGTGTGTGCCTGTCTGTTCTGTGTTTACCTTCGTGTTTCTTTTGGACACTTTGAAGCCTGGAAGTAATTTGATCTGATTTATGTTTTTTTTTTTTTTAAAGTCCCTTTGACTATTAAATGGAATAGAACGTGGATGCCCAGTTGGGAGTCATTTATAAACCTGCAACATTGGTGCTGGAAAGAGTGGGTAGATTTCAGGTCTTATTTCCATGTGGAATCATCAGGATTTGTGGATGGGTTACAAATGGAAAGCAAGAGAAAGACAGGATGACGCACCGTGTTTTGGTTTCAACAACTCTAAGAAGTATGGTGCAATTCACTAAGATGGAAAAA